AATTTATTAGGAATAAATCTGTTTTGGCACAGTTTATTTACCGCAACAACTCTGGTGTCTTTCTGCATTGAATTTTCATGTTTTCTCTGAGCATCCATGGGTTTGCTCCCGCTACTCAATTAATTTTAGGTTAACTGGTTGCCTGTCATGGACTGGCGACCTGTCCAGGGTGCACTCTGCCTTTTGCCCAATTAACTGCTGGAGATGGGAACCTCCTCCCCTCCCCCACCGCTGAAAGGATATGGATGGATGGAACCTCTATTCCATCGGTCGAATTTACCCGACCGTGGTTAAATAAAAAAGATTTATAAAAAAAAGAAAGAAAGAACGAAAAGATACGATAATTTATGACCATGGCTCTTTGAAACCCAATCAGCAGCAGAGGCAGCCACTCCTCAGCCAACCATCCACCTGTGAAGCAATGACGCTTCATGCATAGTAAACAGGGCTCTTAAAGAGACATCCACTTTCCCCCTCTATGCTAAAGAAACGTGGATGGCTTCCTTTAAGTACACAGGGGGCCTAGAGGGCAGGCTGCCAGGGAATATATGGGGCTAGACAGCCTGCTTACTTGTAACACAAGGTCCCTTTACAGAATTATCCACGCTCCGCTGGAGCCGCCTGGCCCCGCCCCCTTCCGTCCCTCCAACAACACACAGCATCCATCCTCATGGGCTCACACGCTGCGTGATCCACATCACAAACCGACAGAGCGGTGGCTTGGCCGAGCCTCATGGAGTAGTAGGACTACTAGTAGGAGGAGGTGGGCTGCTCTCGGCTACCTTTCGTTACTTTCCTCCCTTTCTTCTTTTATGGAGTCGCCTTTTTGTCCGGAATATCGCAGCATCCCATAGCGGTAAGTGTCTGTGCCGCAGATGCTGAAGGGGAAACGGGACTATGGAGCTATTGTCTGTTGCTGAGCCAAGTTCAGATTTCTAATTAAAAGACAACGCTGGGGTCAGATTTAATTAGATTGATCCAATAATTAACAAGAATAGCTCAGTTTTGATGGGAATCTGTTAAAACTGCTATTTAGACAGAATATCGGTATTTCACAGGCACCTGTCTGTTTTCACCAGCAACAGTGGCCACCTTATAGCGCTTATTTAAAGCATAACTGGGGATGTCCTCAACCTTTTTTTGCACAGCCAACAAGAGCAACGTGAGATATTTTAATGTTTTCTTGGTGTGTGTAAATATCGCCTCCGTTGCCGAGCAAAATGTGTTTTCAGCCCAACGGGGGAAAAAAATGTGGCCCGTTTCCCCGCCCCCCCCCAACATCAGATCCTGGCCATGTCTCCTCCAGCAGCACCCGAATCCGTGCAAAGACGCCGCTGATCCCTCAAAGACGGAATTCCCAAGCCTATTAGGGGTCTTTATGATCGTTTCAGGGCAACCTTGAAATTAAATCAGTGTTGCATGTGTCATCATCAGCATGTTCCGATTGCCTCTTCTTTCATTATGTTTCCACTGCAGTGCCATGCATTTACTGTCATGGCTTATGCAGGGGGAATAAATGAATATAATGCGTGCAGATCCATCACATTTTGCTTTTGTGGAGTAAAAATTAGGATTTAAGATGTTTGTAATGCACCGATAAGGTATTTAAATAATAGACTCCTCTTTATGTGGGCAAAAATACATTCATTCTCGGCCACAGTTATAAACTGTACATTGTGACCAGGAATTGAGAGTAAATAATATGTGAAGTCATTACTACAGGAGCCACTGCTACTTATGTTGAGTCACCTGCAGGATTAAATCTCGCCTGTCCGTTCATTGCATGCCCTTAACCAACTGTGAGCATGCACAGTTGCACTGAACCCTCCTCAGCTTGGCTGAGCATTGAAGACAAGAAAGCATTACCCACCCAGAGAGGCAGCATATTTTCACCTTCCATCCTAAACGGGGCATCTTACTGCATGTGCTCGTATATTTACGGGCGTGTCTTAGCTCGTGTCTGTTGTGTGAGCCAAAGCAGACGAGTAGTGTTATTCAGCGGCCAGATGGCCGGTAGTTGGACCATCAGGTGAGCCTTTTCCAAGGCTGTCAGTAGGATCTGGTGAACGCTGGGTGCCTCTTGGATCCCAGCCACAAACTACACAAATGTGCACCTGAGTGTGTCTCTATGTGGTTGCTCTCATAGGCAGTGAGTGTACGCTCACTTTTCAAATCGCTGCATATGTTAGTTGGCATATAGGCTGTTTAGTGGATGCTTGGATGTGTGCATTTTCCTGTTGATGCTTAGACAGCTAGCCAGGCTGAGGTCACAGTGACATAATTTGCCTAAAGCATAATCATCACCAAGAATGACTGTGCGGTAGAGGCCTATGAAGGGTTCCTACGCAATGTTGAAAAGTCTAGAAAAGTATGGGACTTCCTTTTATAATTGTTCAGGTCTGAATCAGAATGGAAAAAATATTTGATTTAACTTCTATCTGTGTCTAATCGTGTCTTATGCAAAGGTTGTAATTGGGTTATTTTAAATCAAAATGCTTTTTTTTTTTTTTTGCCAGGTCAAACATTTTGGTTTTCCACTTAATGGATAAGTTTACTCACTTTCAAATATCAAAAAGTGAATTTATTACCATCTGATCTCAAAACATCTATAAGTACTGCCATTATAGATTTTAAATTGGTTCTAAGAAAAACAGGTAAAATGGTGGTGGCGGCACATGCTCTGGTTATACTTTTTCTTCAGTAGGGGACAGGGAAGCTGAAGGGATGCAGAGAAATGTTCAATCTTGAGCTGCATTTAGGTTATGCTTAAAGTTCTGTGATCTATGCATGTTTATTATGCCTGCCTCACATAAAAATATGAGACACTATTCATTCTCAATTTGTTGATAGAAATGTGACGGGAAAGATTTCTGAGGTAAAATATGCGCTACTTATCGTGACTAGTCTCCAGGTACAGAAATATTAGAGGGAATCCTGCAGGACAGTGGACCGTCCACCGAGGCCGATTAAATAATTCATGTCTTGTGTGAGGTCGTTTCCTCAGTGATGAATCATAGCGTCCACATGAAATTCAAGATGCATCCTGATCAGCTGTAACAAATTGCTTACAGAAACTGGATACTGTTGTTTTCATCTCTTTGTATTACTTGATCCATTCATCTAGCTTTGGATTTATGCACATGAAGCATTAAGAAAGAAAAAATTCTTGCAATAAAAGGTTGAGTTTTACAAATCAAGATAAAACAAATCGAATTCAGTCTGCTTTCTTCCCCCTTTTTTTTAAATAATCAGATTCCAGTGAAGCTGCAGAAAGAAGTGACATTTGAACCCATCTCTAAAATCCATCCTGAGAAGGGACTAAATATTGATTTTCCATGCAGTCTCGCACCCGCAGACATACATGTACGGGCGGAATCACAGATAAACCTCCTCCATGGCTCAGCGCTAGCAGGAATTTGATTACATCTAGACATGGGGGGCAGTGTTATTAGTGCAGTGGTGGTGTCTCGATTGGGTAATAGATCTGTCACAGCGATGCCCCCTGGGAATGATCGGCCCTATTGGGCGAGATAAGACCTGTCACTGGAGAATGAGTGACCCTGCCTTTATTTGAAAACGCTGATACATACAGGTGATAAATCTCCCGGTAGATGAGCTAGAATGGCGTTGCCAGATTTTGCAGTGTGGCTTACTGTTTAGCATTTCAAATTTGAACATCACCACATATAGATATACATTTTAAAATCATTCACTCATAAGAAAGACCTTCACGCTGTAGTGGTTAGTTAAAATTTTTGATAGAAAAAGACCTGGCCAATCATAAAACTCATAGAGTTCAAATCTGCAAAGCAGGTTGTAGTCCACTGCATGTCCCTGCAGCACTGCAAAGCAGCATTTTTTTATTGAGGGAAGGGCTGCTTTGCAGTGTTGTCCCCTTGAACGTAAGTTTAAAAAGATTGTCACGATCATTTTTTGGCTTGGGATAGTTGTCAGAATACCCCATCAACCTGCTGCAGACTGATAGAAGCAGAAAAAAGGGGGATGGATCCTAAGAGTTAGGCTGACCATGTGTAAGACTAAAGCCGATTTTGTCTATGTTCAATTCAGATGTCATTGCGATACACTTCACAGTACAAATATACCAATTCACATACAGAAATATGTAATCTAAGAGTGGGACATTAACGCATTAAAAGTAATTTTAATGGAATTAAATCTTCTTTTTTTTTTTTTTAATGCAAAAGTCCTGAGCTGGAACCTTCCTTCTGTGTTTCTGGTACATCCGTGAATCTGATACACAGGCTGTATCAAAGCGATGGATGACAAAACTGCTTTTTTTGGTCCACTATGAATTTTTACCTCAGAAAGCGATTTGATGGAACAGTGGAAAAGACCATTGTTGTGTGCAAGTTGTGCAAAAAAGCCTGCCTACTACTGAAGCTGTTCAAGCCGAACGTACCATCTCAATGCAAGGCATGTTGTAAACGTTGTCTAAGGGAGTTAAAATAGATTACTGAGGTGCAACCAGAGGTTTTGAAAGAGTTCACAAGCATTTAATTCTACACCCTGGATGTCAGCCAACACGTTTTACTCGCAAAGAGCTCATTAAAGAACAAAATGATAAAATAACAACATGCTTTCTTACCTGAGAAGCTATACTTGTTATACATGTGTTTGATGGTCAGAGAGGTGACCCTGCTCAAGCTGCCCAGCTGGTGTTACATATTGAAATGTCTTTCTGTTAAAAATACGCATCTGCTTGATTTGTTTCATAATCGTCTTCAAAAAGTGTCTTAAGCACAAGAGTGGGCACCTCACAGTCTGTTAGACAACTCTTTTAGAGAAAAATGTAGTTGGCCTCTGCTGTTTTATTTGATGCATCATCTATCCATGATGGTCTGCCTCTTATAAAACCCTGCCTTTCAACTATCTTGCACAACTAAAGTGTATTATGAAAGGATCTGTTTGCTTTAAATGCTGTTAGGGCTTAGGCTTGTTTGGAGATGGCTTTGGGCCTTCCCTTTCTCTTTTCTAACGAGTGCAGAGGAAGGCAACCAAACTTAAAAAATGGCAAACCACTCTTTGACCCATTTCACAAACAGGAACATGTGTATTGGTGTAACTTGGCATCTTGTTGTGACTGTGATGCTGCTGTCGCTGTTCAAATGCCACTCAACTTGCTAAATAAACTGACATTTATCTTTGGCTGGTAAATCCCATGTGTCCATCTATCTGTCATCGGTCTGCTGCGTGGTTTGGCAGGTCATACCCTCTTAGTCCTGTTCATGGTTTCGTGGGAACTCGTGCTTTTCTCCAGCAGTTTGAGGTTGTACATCTTGGACGCTGCTAATTTCACCTGTAATGAATCAGATGCAGCTAAATATGGAATAACAGCTACAGATTCCTGTCACCATGTGATAAGAGTTCATATTTAAACTAAGACTGTATGTGCGGTGGGAAGCCGATCCAGACTTGCTTCTTATGTGTGGCATAAAATGTTCAGAAGTTAAAAGAATTTTCACCCAATGTTTTGCTGGAACAAATCTAATTAAAACAAAAGTTGCAGCACAGAAATGTGAGATTTTCCTTTCTCTTCAGCCGGGGTAAGGAGAATGCGGATGTTATTGTGATGATTCTGAAATAGCTGAATGCTCAGATCAAAAAGCCCGTTTGATCTCACTATAGACTAAAATCCAGAGATGTTACAAGGCAGCAGGAGAAAAAAAAACTTGTACTGGATCACTGAATGTTTAAAATGAAGTGAAAACACATGGGACACTCATGGGAAGTCAGGATTTATTTTCTTAACAACTTTTAATCATGCATATGCAGATACCTCTAGGCTTTTTCTGCTTAGTGACATTTGTTGGGCTGCAAAGCAACACTCATTATTTT